TCATTATTTTCTAATAATGATGAAGATATAAAAAGAAACAATTATTCAATTGCAATATGTAATTATTTTTAAATTATTAAATATTTTTGTAATTATATTTAATTATAAAAAATATAAATATTTTATAATATTATAGGCAAAATTTCTTGTTGATAAAAATGCACATCATCCAAAAGCACCTGTTGTTTTTGAAGAACAAGATTTTTATAATCAAATTTTATATTATTTTACTTATAAATATGAAAATGAAACAAATTTATTAGCTTATATATATTGGGTAAGAAATATAGAAATTTTAAGAAGAGCATTTCTATTTGAACATAGGTGTTTAAACACGAGATCGACAAATTGTATAATTTATACAAATATACTATAATTCAATATACTGATTTACGTATTGGTACGTATATACATACGTATATGCATATAAACACAATTGCATCAAACAGGTAATTTTAAATACAATATAATTTTAGTTAATCTGCTTTAGTGATTTCAATTTGTAGAATACAGAATAAAGTTTAAAGTAGTAAAACCGGGGTTGACCTATTTTAATATAGCCATAAGAAAAAAATTCAGTTCAAATATAATTACTAGACAAAAACTAGCCCTTTTTAATCTGCATATAAACTCTCTACTTATCTCTAAATTCAACTCTTGATGCCCTAATCCTAACCTCATAAACAGTATCAATTTCTATACACTCACCTACTCATTGATGCCATATTAGACTAACAATTATTTTGGAAATATTGAAATACTGACTTATCATGATATTAATATATACAGTACTAAAAAATCAATAGACAAGATCAATGCAAATTTATTGATAGTTATAATTCATTACAGAAATTCATAACAATATAAATATGATCTCTAAATAAAAAAAAAGAAAGTTTCACATATACTATATAAGTTATAAATGCTCTACTTATTTGAACAAGTTTTAGCATAATGTCTAAATTGCCTACACTTTCCACACTTTCGACCTTTAAGATCACTTACAGATCCTACACTATTTGTTGTTGAATTACTTTCCAATCCATCATTTTTAATATTATGACGCATACTATCCCTTAAATGATATTTGGCTTGATTATTTAGTTCAACACTAGATTTAAACCAATTAGGTGGTCTGCCTTTGTGTTTTGTAATGTTAGGATTATTAATATAATTCTTGTTGATATAATTCTCATTAACATAATTCTCATCTTGAACTTGATTTCTATTTATTTTGTTTTGTGCTTCTTTAATAAATGTTTTGAGTACATTAAACAAATCTGAATAAATTTCAGCCTTAATTGCATGGTCAATTGCCTTCTTAGATAGCCCAAATAATTCAGCGAATCTTGTTTTAGCAGGTCTAGATATTGATTCTAAGCTTAAGGTATTAGAACGAACAGAAAATAAATGTTGCAATATAATATTTGGTATGACTTCAGAAGCTTCTTAATATTGTTCAGATACCGAAATTGTAATTGCTAGAATTTCTTTAAGTAGATTTTTTACATTAATCTTAGGGTCTAAAAACCACTGGCTTGGAATAAGGGTTATATGAAATGTGGCCAACAGGGAATATGTACTAACACGAAAAAAGTGACAGCAAATTAAACCCTTATTAATTAAGAGAAGACAGTTACATAAATGAGTGCCATCTTTAAGCAGTACAATATAATACCCATTCCCTGTAGTTCTTGTAGCATAAACATGCCATACTTCAAGAATTGCGTTAGGTATTATATTTTGTATCATTGATTTAAATAAAATTTGGCATATATCAGAATCTTGCTCTCAAATCCAAAGATCTATTATTTCACTATCTATATTGGTCTACAAAATATATTAGTATCATACCCAATAAAAAAAAAAAAAAAAAAGCATACAATATACTTCAATCAAGTCTTCCTATTTATTAACATGAATAACATCATAATATATACTTGCATTCATTTGATCCCTTTGTTTATTTAGCATATTAGGAGTAAGGAACTTTTCTAATATTTTATCAATATTAAGAAAGAAACGATGATTCAACATTGGTAATCCAACAATAGGAATAGCATTATGCTGTATTTCAAATTTTGTTAAATGCTCGCTTTGATTAATAAGATTATTAAGACTATTTAGTAAATTATATAAGGAAGTTGACCAATCAACTTTTTGATGAATGTGAGAATTAATTGACTCAATTCTTTGGGTACTTTGTGCACCTCCCGTAAAATGATTATTAATCCAAGGGACGGCCTATGATTCTTTAGTAGAATATAATATACCATTCAAATATTTTGTGCTAGCTAGATAATTATCTAACAACTCAGACCATTGACTCTCAAAAAGAGCTTCACATAAACTATTGCGGCAGTGGTAAAACTCTGAACGAAATGCCTCAAAATTAGAACCTAATTTACCTTTTAACTTCTTTCTAAGATTTAAATCAATATAAAATATACATATCATATGTTTGGTAGTAGGATATACAGTTATTAAAGCACTTATCATCGCCGAGTTACTATCAGTAAATATTGTTGTAGGAATGATACCGGTTTCTTCAAGTAAAGTCGCATAAACCCACTAAAATGATTCTAATGTTTCATCTTTAAGAAGACTACATGCTACTATCCTTGTTTTAAAATTATTATCAATTACTACAATAATGCATAACATTATTTGGAACTGATTTGTATTCAATATGGTATCTATAAATATTACATTGTGAAAATTTTCATATAATAATCTTTGAGATGGTGATATCCAAAACAGTGAATTCAACTTTCTTAATACTGAATCTAATCTTGGCTTAACAACCTATAATGGGTCTGATTCTTTCTAACTTAACAAGGTTTGAAGCATCAAAGAGACATTAAACTCTCTCGGATTATTATTTCGGTGAAAATTGTAAACGGCATTATACAAGTCACACTTATTTAAAGGCTGGATGGGATAACATGTTTAATTAAAGAATATATCGACATGGAATCTAGTCTGCCTTGAATTGCATATTTTTTAATGTCAGCTAGCATCTCAGGTGTCAATTTTTGAAACTGAGATGAAGTTTCATTGATCATAGTAGGAGTAAGAGGATGGTTGTGTTTATTTTCAAACAAATTAATTCTAATCTTATTAAGTTTTTCTAGATAGGTAATTTACTTTCTAAGAGCATTTTACTTTCTGGGAAGAAGCCTTACGATGTTTTGTTAGATCAGTCGATATTTGTAGATCATGGGCACCAGATCTAGTGCACATATATAGAGCTCTTCATATTATGCCCTAATTTGCCTCACTACTTCTAATTTTGTAGTCGAAGCTGTTCTTCAATGCAAATCTGTGAATCCAATGTTTAAATTCTTCCCATGTTTGAAAGGTAAGTTCAGTCATCAGTTCTAAAGAATTCAACAGATCATTAGTAACTTCCAGTTCACTATTGTTTAACATATCATCAGCATCTCCCAGTTCACAATTATTTAAAATATCTCAGCATCTTCCAATTCACAATCATTTAACATATCATCAGTATCTTCCAATTCACAATCATTTAACATATAATCAGCATTCTCTAGTTCATTATCGTTTAACATATCATCAGCTATAGATAAAGGCATATCGAAGTTCTAAATATCAAAAATAAAGTAAATCTATGCAGATATATATAAAAGAACATGACAAAAATTAGAGTAAACATATATTACATCATTATACTGCAGAAACATCAGTGAGGCACTAAAGTTATCCTGCTAGTTAAGATTGAATAAGAATTGTAGCTTTATTAAAAAAAAGAGCAATTTAAAATATAATATTAAAGTAGAATAAAATATTGCATAATCATGTACTTGAAACGTTGAGGAAGTGCCAATACTATCATTTTAGTTGATTTATTAATATTTTTTCTTTTAGCAAAATCATAATGCTTATATAAAAAAGATTGATCAAAGTTATCCTGTTGGAACAAAAAATACCGCATAACTATATATCAGATACGTCGAAGAAACCCAAATATTATTATATCGGTCGACCTCAATAGCATTCTTTAAATTTAATAATGAAGAAAAAAATCTTTAGTAAAAATCATATGCCATAATAGTAAATAGCAAGTCACAATAGAACGGAGAAAATACAATGTGGTGGTTATGTGTTAGAGACATCAAAGAAACACAAATATCTTCAGCTTGACTGATTCCAATAGTATTCTAGATAACATCATTTGTTAAAAAAAAACTTCAGTAAAATATTATAGTTGTAAAGAGCTAATTAAAGTTATCAGAACAGAATAAAATACCAAGTAGTTATGTGCTGGGAGGTAAAAGGAACCCAAGTTTCATTATTTTGATCGATCTCCATAGTGTTCTTTAAATAAGTATTAGTTTTTTAGTAAAATCATATAGTGGAATTGTAAATAGAAATCACAATAGAATAGGGAAAAATACAATGTGACCATGTGCGAAAAGCATTGAATAAACACAATTATTGTCATCTTGGCTGATTTCAATAGAATTCTAGATAATCATCATTTTATTAAAAAAAAAAACAAGCCTTTAGTAGAATAATATAGTATAAGGAGTTAAAATTATCAGAACAAGATAAAAAATACCAAGTAGTTATATGTTGAAGATGTAGGAAACCCCAATGTTTCATTATTCAGATTGATCCCAACAGTGTTCTTTAAGTAAGCAGTTATATTATTAAAAAAAAATTTTTAGATAAGAATCATTGTATAATTGTAAGAAGTAATCACACTAGAATAGAATAAAATACAACATTATCACGTGGTGGAAATGTCGAAGAAATACAAAGATTATTATCCTGATCATTCTGATAAGCATTCTTTGTGTAAATATCACATTGTTTGTTATTTAAAAAAAAAAAAAAACAACAGTTAAGTATTGTATTGTTATATTCATATAAAAAAGAATATAAGCAAAAAAGCAAGAAATAAATTGTACATAGTAAGGTGTTAGATATATCGAAGAACAAATTTCATTGTTCTGTCAATTGAATAAAAATTGTGTTGCATTGCTCTTCAAAAACGACTTCAAACATGAATAAAAAAGAAAAATATTAATACAAAATTAATTCAGGTTTATTTTAACAATCGAATCATATAGACAAGTGTAATTGTTTCTTAGATCAATTTAAGGTATATACATATTTAAACAATAATATCGATACATATTGTCATCTGTATGTATAATATAGATTATACATACCTGTGTTTATATTTAAACAATATATATGTATAATGTAGATCATACATACCCATGTTTAAACACCCCGTGTACAATTATAAATTTTCTTTTGAAAAATAATATAAAATTATTTCAATATTTTGTGAAAAGAGTATTATTAATATAACTGCAATTGATCGTTATGTGAGTTTTTTAAAGATAGAAAAAAACAAATATATTATTATAGATAAAGAAAATCAAATAATATTTTAAAAATGTTTTAAAATATTTTAAAATATATTTGGTTCGCATAATTTAGTCAAGTTAAAATAAAATTACTTTTATATTTTATTATTAAAATTCTCTAATTTTAATACAAATATATAGAGTTTCAATCCGGATAAATCCGTCATCCATTTATCTATATCTGAATTTATCCGGGTATCTGTTTGCTATTGGTATCCGGATAATCTGACAAATATTCAGATAAATTATTCAGATATCAATAGTTAACGGATATCTGGATAAATTTAGATCAAATACTTGGATAATGGATTATGGATAAATGGATAAACGGTTAATGGATTGGAACTCTATAAATATAAAATCAGATTATTTCCTTTATTTTTTCTGGAATATAATTATTATTAAAATTTTTAATTTATATATAAAAATAAAATCAGATTATTTTCTTTAGTTTTTCTGGAATATATTTTATTATTAAAATTTTCCAATTCAAATATAAAATGTTTTTGGAATACTTTCAGAATACTTTTTGTAAAAAAATTTATATAATATTTTAAGATCTTTAATTAGAATATAATTGAAATATTATTAAAATACCTAATTAAAATCAGAATATAACGACTAAAAATTTTTATAGGGTGGTAGATGTGTTCTGAGAGACCAAATATGTCAAATAAGTTTTGATTAATATTTCTTCAATAAGAAGTCTTTTTGCAGGTCATAAGAATCTATTTGTATTAAGTGAAGCAATTTTAATAGAGATTAGGATATGGGGGGAGTCAGTAGAAATGGGACAAATTTTTTCTAAGTAAAAGTTTTCTTAACTTTAAATTTAAATATCTTG